AATTCGTGGCAGTCGTTGACCGACTCGTTGACCAAAGCATTCCCCAATCTCCGAAATCGCCTCGAACGCCCAAACCTGTTACAACAACAGAAACACATTAAAATTACAAAGATTATATGTGCAATGCTACCGGAGGGGTAAATCATGCATGCTATGCTAATGTTACGAAGTGTGCGTAATTGCATGGCGATGGGGAAGCCGTGAACCGTGCATGTAATCTCTTTCTCCTTCCTCGTCTTGGACTTTTGGAATTTTCTTGCAAAGCTACCCCGAAACCCGTACAACAATCGCCTATATCCAACTCTACCCCAAGGGTAGGAAAAAAAGAAGTCCAGGTCACCCACCATTGATAATGGCAAATGGATATCGACGTTATTATCCGGAGCATTGAATACTCCCTCGACAATTAGAACCAACCCTAGCTTGCAGCGATCAGCACGGGTCGTCGATGGTCGGGCAACAATAGACAGTAGTTGTGCCAATGATACCTTGTCATTGGACTTAAAGTACCTCTCTTTCAACCTTTTCCTCTCAATAAACCGATCGAAATCTTCCCCCTCGGGGAAGACACCGCATCTTAAGCCCGTCACAGCAGCGTACTCTTGTAAACCGAATCTCATCAGGTGACCTTGCACATTGAACCAAAGCTCGTTCACCTTTTCTGTGCGGATTGTTCTAAATAGTAGCTATAAGATTAACTGGGCAGAGAATTGAATGTCTGGAATATCAGCCAGATACCCGAGGGGGGAGTTGCGAAAGTCCTCGCGTTGCCGCTCGTCAAAATGGTCCATCACGGTTTTAACGTACTTGAGGTTGCTGCGTTGGGAAATGTGGGCCCGCAACCGTGCGTCTTCTGGAATCAGGAATTCAAAGTCCATATGCCCTGCAAGGTGCGTTGACAAAACTCATGGGATTAGATTATAAACATAAACAATATTGTATAATGTCTAACAGTAATTGAGACAATCAATGACACGAAAGAAAATTAATATTTATCCATCTTACGTATCCCATCAAATTGAGCAATGATATCCTAGCGTGAGATAGTAACCGTACTTATGAGACACAAATGGAGAGTCAATATGACACAGTGAAGGACATATATGCAAGTGATTTGAACGAAACAATTTTAGAGGTCAAAGTAGGTAGGACATAGTATCATACACATCAACTATTTCACGAATATTTAAGACAATCAATGACACCATTTTGTACACCTCATTTAGCTCAACAATACTTAAAACAATCAACGAAATGGAAGAAAAATACTATTAATTCATTCTAGGCATCCCATCAAATTAAGCATCCAAATCCTACCATCAGATAGTTTATATTCAACCAAATCAAATTATAAAAAACCAAATCCTGTTTATAACTTAGCAGAGAAAATCGACTTTTGCAGTCGCAGGAGTTGGTTGCACCAAAAATTGCCACCACCATCTTATACCAGAAATCATCACAACTTTCCAGAAGTGAGACATATAAAACCACAACAACAGATCTTTGTCAACAAATGATCGGATTATACTATGGTATTCACAACGACTATTGGTAAAGCAAGTACTATAAATTTGACATTTTTGGACACCACGTTTGGAAGCTTTGTCAAAACCCAATTCATTGAGATCAAGATTATGCTGAGAAAAGAAAAATACCCAAATCCCATTGAACAAAAGCCCTCATTTATTATGAAAAGCATATCAAAAGTTGGGTACTGATTAAACATTCAACTCTTAAATCTTCAAAAATTCAACACAAATTTGGAATATAGTTCGCCATTGGTACATTCAACCCTAAAGTCTCAATTAATCCAAAATTTCCCAAGCAGGTTATTGAACGACCACAACCATAATCATTTCCCAAAAGCACTTCAAACAAAGATATGTAAAGGGGAAAAAATGTTCATTCTATCTTCTACCAAAGAGCAAGCATGAAATTACAGCCATTTTATATTCAAATCAGGCAAATAAATCCATACATACTCTACCCAATACATTCAAACAATGAAATCCCAACTATACTCAAACAAATTACACTAATACAGAAAGAACCCTTGTGTCTAATAATATGAACAATCTCGAAGTAGAACTAATTTCCCAAGTTCAATGGATATATCAAACTGTCATATGCCGTTTTGTGTATATATTTCCTCTTCTTCAGAAAAAATGCATAAAATGAATACAACACCAACCTGAAGAAATTAGTGATGGTCTTCGTCCACGGTGAAGTGATTGATGGCGGTCGTTGATGGCTGGTGTTTGACGATTCGAATGTCAGAGTCGGTTCGTATCACGCAACGGACTGCTCTCGGTCTTCGTCGGTGGTGAAAGAAAGGAAAGTGCGATGGAGGGGATGATTCCAATGAAAGAGGAGAATGTGTGAGAGAAGGGATGTGTGAGAAAAAATTGCATAAAATTACTACAACACCAACCTAAAGAAATTAGTGATGGTCTTCGTCCACGGTGAAGTGACCCATGGCGGTCATTGATGGCTGGTGGTTCGACGATTCGAATGTCAAAGGGGAGTCTTGCCTTTCGCCGGTTCGGATCACGCAACGGAGTGCTCTCGGTCTTCGTCGGCGGTGAAAGAAGGAAAAGTGCGATGGAGGAGATGATTCCAATGAAAGAGGAGAATGTGTGAGAGAAGGGATTGTGTTTCAACACTGGTTTCTTCTTCTCCTTCGTCGTTTCGTTTGGTCGTTTCACCTTCTTCCTTCACCAGTTTTGTTCTCTTTTTTTTTTTCCCCTCTCCAAGTACCTGACATTTCAGAGATTTTGTACAATTTCAAGTGTTGTCATGTCATATTTAAACAAGGACTCAGATGGGATTGAACTTAATAAGAGGGGCAAAATAGTCCAAATATGACAATTTTGCAATTACTTTAAAAAAGTGACATTTCTGTAAGTGACAAGGCAAAATTTGACTAGTTTGATAATTTCCACTTTTATTAATTATAAAAATACTTATATATGTTAGGAATATATATTGTACTAAAATTGTTAAACACGGGAGCTACTGAGATAAAATGCCAAAATAGATTCTAGGGACATAACCATATTATCCATAAAAGATAGGGGTAGCATTGACTTAAAAAGGACTTTATCATTTATTGACCCTTCTCTCTCTCTCTCTCATGGTGGCATCGTCGGTGGGTAACCAACCTCTCTCTCTCTCTCTCTCAGTGTTTGTTATTGGCATTAAAAATGAGAAAAAATAGATACTTGCATAACACGAAGAAGATAAGCGAAACAGCAGACAAAAAAAGCAGCCATGGAACAAGAGCTTCATTTTTCCTACTGGCAAACTGCTTGGCTCCAAACAGTAAATTCGGGGAAGCCAGCACGGACGGCTCGCTGGGTGCCATTATCGATGACAAATATGTTGTATTTACACTCAAATTCTATTTGAACATTTATAACCAACTCTACCTAAAAAAAAAAAAAAAAAACCGATATGGCTCCTTGCCTGTGAATCAACCTCCCTACTTTCTGCGCCATTTGTACAGCAAACATGCAATTTATATGATTCTTTGTATCTTCTCCGTTTCCATCAAAAGCTTTTGAGCCCTTACAAAAGAAAATAGTGTTGAAAAAAAAAATGTGTAAATGGCTCATTTTTGGCACAATTTTTAGTGGGATCCGTTGGTCCAATTTGGAAGATCAAAATTGATTCGTGTTCTTCTCCATGAGAACATCGAAATCATATACTTACTTGCCAAAAATGAAGCTTGGATGAATGAGAAATTGGAGCTCAAAGTTGACCAATGGAAGATGGCTTATGTGAGAAAATTGGATTTGTCCCACGTAGGAAAATAAAGAAAATATGAACCACTTTATATATGGCTACACGTTGAAATGGTGTAATCATGTGTAGCATAGAGGCTCTCTCAATGTGCACGCAGAGGATGCAAATCACGGATCGAAATAGCCTTTGGATCTTGAACTTGTGTGCGGGCACATCCTACATACACAAAGTCAAACCGAATAGAGCAAAAATTGGCCTGTTTGGAGTGTCCACATTTTTCAATTTTTTTACTTTCTCCAACCGACTTTTGAGTTTCTGAAACTGCTAAAACTCCAATGGTTACTGCAGATACTAAAGCAACTCCAATGTTTATTGCCATAGAGTTAATGGACAAATTTAAGTTATATTAAATCTCATTTTTCCAGCAATTTTACACACGCGAAAATATACAGAGGAAAAATTGTGTCTGCATATTATTGTTCTCTACATCTACCTGCATATATAATCTCGAGTTTTGTCAGCGTCGTCTTGGTGGTGATATTGTTTGGATACTAATTAGTTTGTCGGAGTAGTATCTGTGGTGCTCAGATCCTACTGATTTTACTATTGTATCTTGGGAAATAGACACTCAGATTAAATCTCAAGCACTTACGGTGATGAGACGAATATGTTTTAAGGAAACTTTGCTCGCACAGGCCTTTGGTTGAAAGTCCATCCATTATTTATTTAATTCATGCAATTTTATCTATTTCTACAATTTATTCGAGTGCTTTATATAATTTGCAATTTTATTATTTTTTTCGTTCTATTTATGTTTTAATTAAAATTAGATAAACGAAAGAAAATGGAATACAATTTTTCCAAAATTTTTCAGAATGCTGCATATACGATATATGCAAGACAGTATATGAAAATACGGTAAATTGTTGCATATATGGTATTCTGTGCAAATACGGTAAACTGTTGCAAATACGTTATGCTCCTGGAAATACAATATGCTGTTGCAAATACGATAAGCTTTAAATACGGTAATTTTTTTATACTGTGTGCATATAAGGGATGAATGAATCCGGTTTCATCCACTATACTAACACTAAATTCTAACAAATAGAAGCATGGGGGTCACGTTTTATACTCCACTTTCGAGGGTTCATCTCACTTCATAAATTGGGGAAAACACGAAGGAAGCTAGTCTCTCTCGAGAGAACACTAGAAATGATAGTGCAAGAAGCGAGGCTGAAAAAGAGTAGAACGAGATGAGAGGGAAGCAGAGGAGATCCATCACCACCAGTGCCGGCCTTGACTATAGGTGGGGTAGGCGATCGCCAAAAGCCCTACTTTGGTGAGGGCCCCAAAAAAATTATTATATTTTATTTTACATGTGTGTGTGTGTGTGTGTGTCTATATATATATAGGATCCCATATTTGAAATTGGTCTAAAACCCCCAAAATCTCAAGGTCGGCCTTGATCACCACCAAGATCTTCCAAGGCCTCCGCAGGCACAGTGGCTACCACCTGTCTCCTCGTGCTGATAGCAACCAAGTTCTCTGTCATCTTGCCCAAGAAGCTGGATGGGTCGTCGAGCCTGATGGCATCACTTACCGCTATGCAACCACCACTAATACCACCAGCAGCGTATGTATTTTTTCATGTCATCCTTACTATGTCCTTCACGACATTGGGGTCAAGTTACTCCACTATTTAGAATCCGTTATCGTTGATGCTAAGTGCTATAACTTTGTGAATAGCGAGGCAACATTTAATTATTATAAAAGTTGAGTTGTTACTGATTATACTTTCATTTTTATAATCTTAGTCACCTATGTAATTAACTCATAAAAGATTAATAACATTAATTAATTTGTGTAAAATTATTTTTATAACAAGATAGATTCTGTTGTTGCATTAAACTGGAGATTTTTATGTATGTATTTATTTATTTAGTCAGTGCCCTTGTTTACACTCTTATTCCCTTCAGCTATTAAAATAATCTTTTTAGTTTTTACCCTACAGTTACCAAATATTAAAATTTTTAACATATTATATCCACAAAATTAACATAACATTGCAATAATAAAAGCATCTGAATTCATACTCTGCCACATCTTTTATATCTTGCAATGGTTTAATTATGTAATTGCCACACGTATTTGGCTAAGTTAACTCACAATTGTTGGTCACACACAGAATAAAATTGTTAATAATTTTTTTACATTTTTTCTCACATGCTCTTTTGTGTTGCAATATGCAAAACATGTATGTGCTAAAGTTGATCTGGTTTTGACAGGGAATTAATGTTTGTCCTCTTCGTGCTCGAGGAAGAAAACGGACTACGATAATGCCAACCAGCAGCTTCGTGGGAGCCAATGCTGGAATTGGTGCTGTCGCCTATGGTGATGGAGGTGAATGTCTGACAGTGGCCTCCCCTCGCCACATCACAACCAAAGGTCCCACCGCACTCAACCACTCCTCCATTAGCCTAACCTTTTGCGGTGGATTTAGCTCATGTAGTACTACTATTGCTACAATTGCTAGTTCTTCTTCTTGTCCATTGCATTCACTACTAAAGAACAAAGCTTCAAGCATGGATTTCCGGTTCCTAAAGCCTCAATATCTGTTGCTAATAATCTTCACCAATGGAATATTTGCAATCACAAATCCGTTGATAATTTGAGGGTCACTGATAGTTACCAATGGATCGTGCCGTAGGTAAAGAGTAAACATTTTACCAACGGATTTTCCGTTGGTAAAAATCCGTTGGTAAAGTGTGAATCTTTTACCAACGGAATTTTCGTTGGTAAAAGTCTTAACCAATAGCAACCGACTTTCCGTTGATAAATGTCTACCATTACAATTGGTAAAAATCAATGTTGTAAATAACCGTATGGTAAAAAAATTATTTATTTATTTATTTATTATTATTATTTATGTAATAATTATTTTTTTTTTAAATTTTTAGCCAACTGAATTGAAAGATCAAAATATTGTTTAACTCCTTATTAGACCACAAATTTATAAAGGGCAACTACAAAGATATTGTTATAAACTTCCGATGTGGGATAAGTAAATTATTTTTACCAACGGATAATTCGTTTCTAATTACCAACGGAATATCCATTACTGAAATATCAAAATGTTAGACGGTTATATTAGGTACGAAATATCCGTTGATAAAGAGATATCATTTTTACTAACGGATAATCCATTTCTAATTACCAACGGAATATCGATAGGTAAAACATCAAAATTTTAAACGATTATAATAGGCACGGAATATTCATTGGTTAAGAGATATCATCTTTACCAACGAAAAATTCGTTGCTGATTATTGTAGCTAAAAGTGAATTACTTTTACCAACAGATAATTCGTTTTTAATTATCAACGGATGCAATCCGTTGGTAATATTCGGTACATCATCTATGGAATATCCATCGGAGGAAGATCCAAATGTTAAACGGTTACATTAGGCATGGAATATCGGTTGGTAAAGAGATATCATCTTTACCAAAGGAAAATCTGTTGCTAATTATCGTAGCTAAAAGTGAATTACTTTTACCAAACGAATAATCCGTTTCAAATCACCAACGGATGTAATCCGTCGGCAATTTTTCGTAGGTGAAAAGCTGTTTTTAAGTAGTGATTGTACCGATGCAGTTATGGCTGTTTATGTTAGTTTGATGCTCTTATTGAGTAGTACTTGGTAAAACAACATCATGAATTGATGTTCCATTTTGGGTGTTACAATTTGAAATGACTATCTAAGGTTTCATGATCATATAGGATGTCACAAATTGTATACTCGATAGTTCGGGTATATTGAGACACAATTCGTGATGTGATCAAAATATGTCGTTCACAATCAGTACATAAGTTGGACGCTATATGTTGGGAAGATATCATTGTTCTTATTAAAATTTGTCTAGATTTGGGGATAAGAACAATGATGTGCTTTTTGATTCACATTGAACGAGACCACGTAGATGACTCATTTATGATCGTTCGGAATGGGCTACTCGATTATCAAACTAGTCACCTAAATCCTGAGCAACTAGTTAATTGTTAGTTCAAGTTCTTTGAGGTACTAATGAGTAAAGTCTTATTTAGAAGATTAATCTTGATGCATTGAGAATCGAGCTGATACAATTAGAGATCATATGCTTGTGATAGTGGAATCCATTAATCATCGAGATCAGATGATCGTCACTCTGAGGTATTTTCTATAAGCAATTGACCCTGAGCTCAATAGTCTGATGATGAGATTGTTGGACTCTATATTGTGTTTTGATAACGACAAATTCACCTTATGAAAATGGAACTTAGAGAGTAATACATGTTGAAGGGCAAAACGGTTCTTTTGTCATTTTCAACATGTTGACGATCAAATGGAGGTTGACTTGTGGAATGATAATCGAAGGATATTATTATCAGATCATAATTTGCTTTTGTAACTTTCACTTGACTCGAGAATGCAATCTCCATTTGTTTTTTTGTAGAATAAGCTGGGATAAATAGATATATCTAAATTGGTCAAGAGTTGACCCAATTAGAAACATCTATTGGAGCTTGAGTCCTATGAGTCCAACTAGGTCCCTCTCTTGGCTCCAATAAAGGGGTGTGACTTAATTGGTCTACTACAATAAAGTCCAAAAAATTTTGCGTAATTATAAACCCTAATTGAGTATTATAAATGTGCCCTTTATAGGCACATTTTCAAATGTTTTTTAGGGTTAGCCACGCTTTTATTTTTCAAAAATGGAGGTACCTAAGGAGCACAAGGGAGAAGATCTAAAGAATGACGTACTTGGTTAGGCCATTAATAGCTCCTTCAAGGTTATCATCTCTACTTTATGTATAAGGCTTAAAAACATCCAATGATCTCAAAGTAATCTAAGATCCTTTATTCATTTGGGTTTAATCTTCAAAGGAAAATTAATTTCCTATTATGATGATGAAATCCAACAACCAACAAATGGTATCAGAACAAAGGTTATTGAGAGCCTTGAGTAGGATTAAGTTCTTTAAATCCTAGTACAAAATGCATTTTTAGTATGAGTGGTGTAAGGTTATCTAATTTAACATGTTTATTGCTTTATAAGCTAAAAGTAGATGTTTATACATAATCACTTTTGGCCCTAAAATTTTTTGTTGCTTTCCATTATAATTCATTTTATTCGTTGTTCTTTCCTCTACAAAAATTATAAGCCATAAGGCACTAAGGTTTTGTACATATTTTTCATATTTCTACACTTGTGTATTAAGAGAAGCTGATGGGTTTTTTCAGGGCTCCATACATTTTTTTGTTGCTGGTTGTATTATGGAGACTCGAATTTTTAGAAATAAAAAAATGGCACGAAGATCTTATTGGAGAAATGGAAGGAGGTAGAGATAGAACAAACAAGATGCAAAACCATTGTAGAATTGCAACAGGCGGCATAGCAACCACTGCTACTGGAGTGGCGACAGTTGCTGTGACTAGCAACAACTGCTGCTGTTTCTAGTCGCGATAGCCATAGCTGCTAAAAATGTAGTAGCTGCCGTTGCTACCACGAAATAGCAGCATCTGCGGCTGCAACAACCATGCAACGGCTACGACTGCTTGCTACAGCAGCTTGCAGCTACTACAATAAGCGATCGTAGTCATTTGCTATCGCCACTCAGTGACGATGGCGGTGGCGACCTCTTTTGTTGTCATCATTGTCGATGTCGTCGTCGGAAATGGGTGGTAGAAGTGATACATGATGGATTTGCTAGAGTTTGTGAAATTAGGTTAATTTTGAGTTTTTGGGCTTTCTTTGAGACTTGGCCAATCTTGTTGGATAAAGGCATTTGTTTTAAGGATTGAGACTCATAAATAAAATTGACCCAATTTCAGGAAATTGCATGGGTTGGACAACAAGGAAATTGAAGAATTGGGTCGGAATGTGGCCCAATAGAATGCTTTAATCTTTGTTGTAATTTAAATTTTTAGGATGGGCCCTAAGTGATTATAATTCATTTAATTATTGCTTTTTATCGCTTTATAGATTATGAATAAATGTATGATTATCATATGTCGTGTAAATTAAATGAAACACCATCCAGTACACTAAAATCATATGCATTGGTATTGGATTTTTTTTTATCTATCTAATTAATTAGGGTGGTCAAAACATTATATTTAATAATTTAGTGCCATTATAATTGTTTACCAAAATGGTTGACTTCTCGTCTCGATTATCACAAACAAACGGTGTTTATTTCTAACAAATTAATTTCGAGTGTTGATAGTGATTATTGCAAAATCGACAAAAATGTAAACAAAAAAAAAATCAAAATCAAGTAACGTGCACATTGACAAATGAAATTGGTGCTTGAAGATCAACATGGAACAAAAATTGGCGATTGTCGAAGGTAGAGACAAAAATCGAGCCTTCACGTCGAAAATCACCTTGGAGAAAAAATCGATTTATCAAAATTCAAGACATTAGATGTAGATGCATTGAATTTATATACAAAGGTAAATTAATTCAATTCTTAGTATCAATTATATATATGAACAAATTCACGTTACAAAAGAGATTTTCATTAAAATTAATTTTAAAGGTAAGTATTTCGACTCAACGATCAAATATTTACAAAAACACTTATCTTTACAAAATAAATGAGAAAGTCCTTCAAGAACCTACATTGATCAAATTCATCAAGAAGGAAAAACGTCCGAGGGCATTTCTACCCATTCGAACGTTCGGATACCAATAGTCACTTTTTTGATCGTTCTGCCTTTGACTCAAGCTGTTAGTTTTTTAACCGTTTGGACCCCAACCAGATGTCCAGATCACACGTCCGAATGGACAGATTTTTTGCTCATTGAGTGCTATAAATACCACTTCTCTTCCGCATTTGCAATAACCTTCTTTGAGCATTTAAGTGACGTTTTGGTTGATCTCAACTGCTTTGTTTTCAATCCTTAGAAGATCAAAATATTTATTTCTTGAAAAACTTTTTGAATGATCAAATTTGTGAAAATCTTTTATCTCATTAAAGTTTTTCAACAACTAATACTTGTGCTATATTCATTGCTATTTATTGAAGTATTGTCCTATCTCTCTCTTAATACTTAATTGATCATATCATTTATTATGAGAGAATCTTTTACTTGTAATTTTTCTGTTGTTTGATTCTAGGTCGTGTTGAAATCCCGAAAATTTGAACGTTGTAAAAGGATTGGTGCTCCTTGGTTGTAAGTCTCCGGAAGCGTTGTAAAAGATGGTTTGCACCATAAGTCAACAACAATATTGAAAAAAGCCTTGCTCGTAACGGAGAGCTTGGTAACAGAGGACGTGGATCATTGATTGGATCGAACCTTCATAATTACATCGTTTGTGCATTCTCTTCTCTTTTACTTTTTACTTACATATTTGTGCTATTTTACCTGTGCAATTAACTTATTTGTTATTTGTCTAAGATTGCGATTATTTTTGAGAATGTTTTAAATAACCAATTCACCTCTTTTTGATTAGCTATTCTTGGGCTTTCAATTGGTATCAAAGCAAAGTGCTCATTTTTTATCTTTTTCTTAAAGATTTTACAATCTTGAGCAATGGCTAATCACTTTCTTCAAACTCTTGTGGGACATCCCACAAACTGACTACCTTTCATTGATGGAACACATTATAATTATTGGAAGGCTAGAA